TTCCTGAACACCTCTTCATCTGCTCATGTTTAGTTAGACCTCAGTGTACCTGAACACCTCTTCATCTCCTCATGTTTAGTTAGACCTCAGTGTTCCTGAACACCTCTTCATCTCCTCATGTTTAGTTAGACCTCAGTGTTCCTGAACACCTCTTCATCTGCTCGTTTAGTTAGACCTCAGTGTTCCTGAACACCTCTTCATCTCCTCATGTTTAGTTAGACCGCAGTGTTCCTGAACACCTCTTCATCTGCACGTTTAGTTAGTTTAGATTTATGATACACACAATAAGAATATGAGAAATGCATTAGAAAAAAACATTGTTTGATGGAACCTGAGATATTTAATATATAATAATAATATATTCATGATATCGTCTGTTTTTGACATTTACAACCTTTATTTTTTTCCTGATCAAACCGTTCCTTTAAATGTGATTTTTAATTACCTGAAGAGGGTATAAGCTCCTCCCACATTGTGTAGATTTGGATTGTGGACACGCCCCCTTATGAATGAACACACCTGTGTCTGAAACGTTGGTAAATCATAAACTATCTTTTGCATCGTGGCTACCAGACTTTTTCCTTCACTTTAATCTTTCTCACATTTGATAATCAATGAATGTAGACCGATCGATAATAAACATAAACACATTTTGGCTGATTTGGTGACACGTCTCCAGCCTTTAACCTGAGCAGGACACCTTGAATGATGACATCATCTCTGTCTCACCTGACCAGGTGTCTTTATTGATCTGGAGTAATGGGAGTAACACTGAGCATGTTGGTGTAAAACAACAGAAGAAGAAGAAGCGGTCTGTGGGCTCTCATCAGAGAGATCAACAAACAGGAAGTGAGACCGTGAGTCCTCTTAAGTCTCCTCGTCCTCGCTGTGGTGCGTCTTGTCCTCGCTCAGGCCACTCTCGTCGATGTTCTCCAGAGAGTCGGCTCTCTGGACGTTCAGCTCCGACACGCTGATGCACGGCAGCGCGTTCTGCTCCGGGAACATCCACGGCTTCAGGCTCGGGTTGTGCTTCCTCTTCCAGTCCGGGTACTTTAGAGACGCCTTGTAGATCTTCCTCATCACCTGAGAAGACAGAGACGCAGCGAGGACACGCGTGAGGACGAGACGGAGCAGGTTTATATTTATATTTATATAAAGGAAGACTTTTATACCTTTGGAGCCACAAACTGAGACACTCGGTTGACCACCCACTTTGGTAACGAACCTGCAGACAGACGAGACAACGGGGGGTGTTAGAGACTCTCTGGAGTCTTCTGTCTCTGTTAGGACCGATATGTCCTATCGACAAAAAACATCACATCAATCTAACATCATCAAGGTGATGACAAAAGTGAAGACATTTATTTTTTAGAGTGAAGACATTTTTAGAAGGCGGGAGACATTTTTAGAAGGCGGGAGACATTTTTGGAGTGTGAAGACATTTTTGGAGAGTTAGGACTTAGGACTAGGACAGTTTGAGGGACCAGATTTTCTGTAAAGAGTTACGTTGATGCCATCACAACATTTTAAAAGACATGCTAATAAGCAGAGAGGTTTACTTTGAATATAACACACACACACAGACAGACATCCCTGGTTTTACTGGGTATTTATTGACTGGCTGAGCTCTCCCTTCACACACAGTGAGAGGACTTTATGAGTCTGTTGTCTCACCTCGCGGGTCCATCTGGGTAAGGTAGTAGAGGGTGGAGCAGCTGGCTCCGTTGGACTGGATCAGGTATCCGGTCAACAGGGACACTGCTCGGACGTAGTCCTTCTTGGGAGGATGTTGCTGAGGAGACACCAGGAGGAGAATTTTAAAGGACCAGCTCACTGGTTCATTCAGAGACTTCTAATTTGCAGGATCTTCAAACATCAGGAAACATCTGCTGAACATGAACTTCATGCTGCAGACGGACACACATCTGACAATTACAACCCGGTTCTTGTCTTTGGACCAAGTTTCAGGTCTGAACATTTATAAAGTGGAACCTGGACCAGTACTCTGTCCAGTGATCTCCAGACTCAACAGTCTTTCATGCAACCAGTTTTCTGCTCAGACCTCCACATATGGAGCACAGAGCTGGAAGAGGAAGACCTTATTTTAGAAACCAGAAGCAGCAGAAACTTTACTGTCCAGCAGACAAACAGAAGAGACTTTAAAGGAAAAGTTCTGTTCAATAATATTGATTTAAAAAAAAACTTTAATCTCTGAGAAGGAGACGATGTAAAAGCTCACCAGATGTTTGACGGAGTAGTTGATGATCAGGTAGTCGTTGCCGAGAGGAAGCCAAGATCTCATGGTCACAAAGTCTCTGTTCTTGAGAGGACTCGGACATTTCCCTTCAAACAACACACGCACATTAAAAGACAGAAGAAACATCTATTAACTATGAACCCAACAGTCATAGAGAACTGACAGGAGTAATATCCCACGTCTGCGTTGGCCGTCAGCCTCCCGATGTCGTACGTGTCGATCATGTTGGTGTCCCACTTCTTGCGGTAGCTGGTATCGTGGAGGACGTCGTACAGTGTCTCTGCCGTCACGTCTTTACACACGATCCTCATCTGAGACACAGAGACAGAGACACTTCACTACAATGTCCTCTCACTAGTTCCAGGTCTGTCACCTGCCTCATCCTCATCAGATAAAATGTAGATGATGGTTTAAAGCTCCAGCCAGCAGGTTGATCTCAAGAATCACATGATACAAGCAGATCATCATCATCATAATGTTTCTTTGATCACAGCAGCATCTGGTGGATGTCAGAGGAACTGCAGGGAGACACACTGCAGGTCTGAGGCTGCTTATTGGATCAGACAAGCAAGCATCATAGTTTCCTTTAGGAAACAACACAACTACTTAGTTAGTTTTAGACACCTAAACTATTTAGTTAGGTTTAGACAACAAAACTATTTAGTTAGGTTTAGACAACAAAACTACTTAGTTAGGTTGAGACAACAAACCTACTTAGTTAGCTTTAGACAACTAAACTACTTAGGTTGAGACAACAACACTACTTAGGTTTAGACAACTAAACTACTTAGGTTGAGACAACAAAACTATTTAGTTAGGTTGAGACAACTAAACTACTTAGTTAGGTTTGGACAACAAAACTACTTAGTTAGGTTTGGACAATAAAACTACTTAGTTAGGTTTGGACAACTAAACTACTTAGTTAGGTTTGGACAATAAAACTACTTAGTTAGGTTCCTGGTTTATGATTACATAAGATAAGATAAGATAGACTTTATTGTCCCAAAGGAAATTTGTCTTGGAAACATACATACAGTGTACAGTGTCTGCTGTTAAAAAACAATACAAATAACATATTGCATACATACATTACATACACAGACTGTCGCCAGTCCACATACCCGCACACACAGTACCTACAGTACTTGCAAAAGACTGCCACCAGCCAACAAACACATTTCACACTGCCCATTGTATAACGCACCAGTAGTGTGTAGTTAAGATATTAAAAATAAATAAAAATCGGTGTTACAGGGGTTAAGCTCTGGCTAGCTTGCCATTTAGGGCTTTGATGGACAAGGGGACAAAGGAGTTCTTAAATCGGTTGAGCCCGCACTGGGGGACTCTGAAGCGTCTGCCTGAGGGAAGAAGCTGGTATTCAGGGTGGAGGACATATATAGGGTGGACATACAAAATAACTATATGAATTAAGGCACATTTTTTAAATAGGTATAGCTAAAAATCGCGATTAATCGCATTGTTATGGCAAAGTTCAATAATGAATTTAAAAGTAGTGTATTGTGCACTTTTATTTTTAAAGTACTGCTGTATGAACAAAAGGTCAATAACATTTGGTTTGCAAACACTTATTAAAACAAATCAGGTTATTTTTAACAGCAGTATTCTCTTTACACAGCAGCAGTTCTATCTCTTCACTATCTGTGCTCAGTGTGTGACGTTCCACTGCTGTGCAACAGGAATAAAATGTTTCAGCACGTTTCAGCAAAAATGTGTGTATTGTGTCTTCATGACAGTCAGAGCATGTGAATGCAGCTCTACTGTTCATCACTATGATGCTGTAACTCAGAGGTGATGATGGTTACCCAGCGATCAAAGAATAAAGACACTTTACCCACAATTTAGGTGTATTTTCCCTTTAACTCACGAGATGCAGCATGTTTTATACTTAATGTGAATATAATTCATACTTTGTCGGCATCTTATTCTGAAAACCGGATGTTCGTCTGAAGAAAACGGATGTTGTCTCACGTTAATCTTTCCGCTAACTTTCTTAGCTCATTCTTGAGGCTCATACGCCATTCATTGCGATCCTAAGAACGTTCCTCAGACCAGCACTAACCTGCAGTTTGTCTCCACTTCTCTGTAGCATCTGTTAGCTTGTCTTGCTTTAGTTTATCTCTACTTCTCCCACACGCTGCATCAACGTAGTCTGAAGACTTCCTCCACCGCTGCCAGTGAGCAACGCACTTTCAAAATTTGTTTGAAGCTGAACGGACGGAGACAACGTCAGGAATTCACTTCTGGTTCATGTTTGACTTTTCAAAAGTTGCTTTGAACTGGATGAACTATTTGGTAAATATTAATGACGTGCAGGGGTTGGTTGTCTCCCTGTTAGGGTTTGGTAGAAGAGACATTGATCATACGATGCCTTGCTCAGAGGAACCTTATCAGCAAAGCTTCACTTTCCTGCTCAGATCTTATCAGTCTGAGACTTGTCCACCAGATGTTTTTGTTTTAGAGGTCTCGCTACGAAAACAGACAGGCAGGCAGACAGACAGATAGACAGGCAGGCAGACAGGCAGACAGATAGACAGGCAGGCAGATAGACAGGCAGGCAGATAGACAGGCAGGCAGACAGAGAGACAGGCAGACAGATAGACAGGCAGGCAGATAGACAGACAGGCAGACAGAGAGACAGGCAGACAGACAGAGAGACAGGCAGGCAGACAGACAGACAGATAGAGAGACAGGCAGACAGACAGATAGAGAGACAGGCAGAGAGACAGACAGACAGACAGACAGACAGGCAGGCAGACAGAGAGACAGGCAGACAGATAGACAGGCAGGCAGATAGACAGGCAGGCAGACAGAGAGACAGGCAGACAGACAGAGAGACAGGCAGGCAGACAGACAGACAGATAGAGAGACAGGCAGACAGACAGATAGAGAGACAGGCAGAGAGACAGACAGACAGACAGAGAGACAGGCAGACAGACAGATAGAGAGACAGGCAGGCAGATAGACAGACAGGCAGAGAGACAGATAGAGAGAGAGGCAGACAGATAGAGAGAGAGGCAGACAGACAGATAGAGAGACAGACAGACAGATAGATAGACAGACAGATAGGCAGGCAGACAGACAGACAGATAGAGAGAGAGGCAGACAGACAGA